ATGGCTGTTAAATGGGTTTCTAAATTTCTAAAATTCATCATCCAAGGCATCATCATCATCATCAGGATCGTCATGGCTATTTTCATCAACATAATCATCCTCTTGTGAATCATCACAGGCTGCAAAAGCATCTCTGGCTAGTCTTCTCTTGTGTCTTGTTAGCCAGGTATAGAGAGTAGCTGTATCCAGTTGATCAAGTGGACTTTGTGTAATGGATGGAAATGATTTTAGGTTCSTACCAGCAATTTTATCAAATGGTTTTACTGACTTGAAAAGGTTTATAATCACCTTTATGTCATCTGTAGAGGATGCATGTGTGTGGCTTGTAGAGTCAGGAGGGACATTGCTTTCCTGGTCAAACACATKTACAAGACTCTTTAGGGAATGAGATGCTCTTGTACTTCTCTCAACTYCTTTCAAAGTCTTGTTGCCACACATTCCTCTGAGCATAACCTTGTGATTCTTGATGGACATRTCCATTTGGAGGTCATTGGCATAGTTCCTTCCTGCTCCACCTTTCATATTTACAAATTGTCCATGAATAATACGATGAGCCATTTTTMGGGTATATAGTGCTTTTACACATGTAATCATCCTCATAACCTCATATGCATACTTCATCCCTCTCTTTCTAGAACGGAAATATAACATAAGCAATTTCATGTTCATAATGCTCCGATCGCCGTCACCTTCRTTTTCTGTGTCGTTTAACTGCATAAGCATAACACCTAATTGCAGACATTGGGAAGCATAGTTAGATAATCTATCAGATTGAAGTGGTTCTGGATGTGAATGCTTCTTCTCACTAGTTTTACTTTCATCAGATTGAAGTGGTTTTTGTGTAGGAGGTGAAGGCTTCTCACTACTCTCACTTGTTTGTTGAGTTGTATTAGGCCTTGTTGGGATTGCTGTCAAAGACCTAGGCCACATTACAATTTGACCTAAACTCACTGGAATCTGGGCATCTGGTTCCAAAGATATAATAAACAGTGGTACATGTGCTTGATTGWCTGAAGCTTCATTAAGMTCTATAACTCTGCCTACTCCGACTACTTTGTATCCCCCTTGGTTCTTGGGAAAAACCAGTACAATATTTTGACCTGGTGATTTGAAATTCATGAAATATAATCATTTGATATGTTGATGTACTAACTAATTTATTC